AAATCACATGATATCACTTATATGTGGGATATAAACCTAAAAGCAACAAATGAACAGGACAAACAAACAGAGACTCATGGACGTGGACTATAGACTAGTGGTTACCAGAGGGTAGGGGGTAGAGGAGGCGAAGGGAGGTAGATGGGGTAAAGGGGGTCAAATATAGGAGGGATAGGAGGAGGGCGAAGTGGGTAAAGAGGATCAAATATATAGTAGTCGAAGGAAACTGGACTTCGGGTGGTAAACACACAATAGAATATACAGATGTCAAATTATAATATACACCTGAAAATTATATAATTGTATTAATCAATGTTACCCCAATAAACTTAATTTTAAACAAACAAACAAACAATAAATAAATAAAAGAATGAAATCTTACCACTTGTGACAACATAGATAGACCTCAAGGGTATTATATGAAATGAAATAATTTAGACAAAGAAAGACAAATATCATATGATTTCACTTATATGTGGAATCTAAAGAACAAAATAAATGAATAAACAAAACAGAAACAGACTCATATAAACAGAGAAATGAAGGTTGCCAGATGAGAGGGTAGTTGGAGGGCTAGGTGAAAAAGGGGAAGGGATTAAAAAGTACAAATTGGTAATTACAAAATAGTCAGGCGGATGTAAAGTACAGCATAGGGAACATAGTCAATATTATCGTAATGGCTATGTATAGAGCCAGGTGGTTACTAGACTAGTCAGGAGGATCACTTCATAAATTATATAAATGTCTAACCACTATGCTTTACATCTGAAACTAAAAAAAGTAATATTGAATGTCAACTGTAATTGAAAAAAAATTACAGGAAAAAATTATATTTCCTTGGGGTTTTTCTGGTCCTTTTTTTTTTTATAGCTTTATCGATATAATTCACATACTACATAATTCACCCATTTAAAAGGTATAATTCACAAAGTTGTGCAACGATCATCACAATCAACTTTAGAACATTTCATCACCCCCCCAAAAAAACTCTGTACTTATTAGTGGTCAAACCTATTTCTTACCGAACCATCCAATCTTGGGCAACCACTAATCTGATTTCTGTCTCTATAGATTTGTCTATTTTAGATACCTCATGTGAATGCAACCATAAAATATATGTCCTGTATGACTGGCTTCTTTAACTTAGCATCATATTTGTAGGGTTCATCCATGTTGCAGCATATATCAGAATTTCATTTCTTTTTATTGTTAAATAATATTCCATTACGAATATACCACTTTTATTTATCCATTCATCAGTAGATGGACATTTGGGTTATTTCTACTTATTGGCTATTATGAATAAAGTTACTGTGAACATTCATGGACAAGTTTCTGTGTAGACATATGTTTTTATTTCTCTTAGGCATGCATACCTAGAAGCGGATTGCTGGGTCATATGTAACATTTAGAGGAACTGCCAAACTATTTTCCAAAGCAACTTTACCATTTCAAATTCCCACCTGCAATGCATGAAAGTCCCAACTTCTCCACATC